AAAATTTTGTCCCTAATATCAATGTTATTACTTGAAAAAACTTGATGAACTCGCCGGTTTTTACCGGTCTGGAAATACTTTTAGACCGGCCGGTGACTGGCCGGACCGGACCGGTCTAAAATTTAAATCGGCCGGACCGGACCGGTCTAGTATTTCCAGACCGGTTACAACTCTGACTTACTCCCGATAGATTTGCTCTGTTTTGAAACATTATTTATTTATTTTAGGATTTTGGTCAAGTTTAATTATGGCTGCTATAAACGAATGTGACCTGCAGTCTGCACACAACGAATTAAAACTATGTAGAATATGTTTAGACAATGATAATGCTAGTGATATAATTAGTCCATGTTTATGTAGCGGTGGTTCGGCTTATGTCCATAGAAAATGTTTAAATGATTGGCGATCAGAAAATGCAAATGGAAGAGCTTTTAAGTTTTGTGATATATGCCAATTCGAATATGTTAATGAAACCGTTGTAAATGATTCAGAAGCTGATAGAAAAAGACTATTAAAGTATCATTTATTAGTTATTCGTGATTTAACATTGACTGTTTTACTGGTTCAGTTAGTAATTATTGGACTAGCATATCTATCAAAAATTGCCGATAGAAATCGTGATAATATTAAACATCTATTTCCAGAATGGATGAATACATTTGTAATTTATTATTTGAGCGGTATTATATTATTTTTAGCCCTTTTAGGTATTTTTGGTTTAATTGTTCTTTGTTATGGATGGGGTCATGGTGGTGGTGGCAGGCACAACTGTGATTTTATCAGTAATATTTGTTATAGAAGTAACAGTGGAAGCAAGGGTGGAATGTTTGTCATCGTGGTAGCTATTGTATTAATATGTGCTTTTATTGGAATATTTGTTGGAATAATCTTAAGTGTAGCGATTTTAAAGCAATCAATGAAACGCCATACTAATAAATTATGGCTACGACAAGAAGCAGAAAAATATATTGTTAAAGACTTTCAAGAAAGAAGAAATGAATTAGACAAATATAAAAATAACAATCATATTTTCACTAAGCCGTTGACAGATAGTGATACTGATAACGGTATTGCTTAAAATTAAACGTTATCATTAGCTCCAATTCAATACTGATTTTCAATTAAATCAAATATGTATCAAGGTAAATATACTGATAATTGATTAGTAACGGTGAGCTACACAGAATTTGTAAATTAGCGATTTAAACAGTGTTGAATTTTAAATTTTATTTTAGAGACTATTTTGCACTTAAAAGTATGAAATTATATGCACGATTTTGACTATGTTTTGCAAATTGTTACTTTTCGAGAAATAGTGGTTAGTTCTAGGGTAATTTGATAATTTCTTTAAAATTCATATCTCACTTATAACCGATCCAAATGATTCAGCTATTTAATTAGGAGCAAAAGTATCATTGCTAGTAATGTATGAAAGGTCAGAATAAGCACAGTACCTGTAATAACTGCAACTAAAAGATTGATAGTTGGATATTGTTTGAGTGGACTAGGCATTAATCAAATCTGCTTGTGTTAATATAAAGATTAAAACTGTAAAATCGTTACTACGGGATATTAAAAGATACATGGTGAATATGATGTTTTCCCATCCTATATTTCAAAAACTTTATTCAAACAATGTGTATTTTTTGTTCTGCTGGAAATTAGACAACGATAAAACTTAATTTTCCATCGTCGACAGCAAACGTAAAAAAGCCGGTTTTTATACATTTCGCCAATCAATCCAAAATGATCATGCATACAATATAGTCTTGAAAGAAAATTGTACAAAAAAAACTAGTTTACCTCCACGTAAGAAATTATATGTCAATCGTAATCATCGTTTACACAATTTAGAAGATCAATATAAATAAAATAGTATAAATTTAAATGACTTTTTGTGTAAGGTATCAAAAACAGTACGTGTTAAAAAGTTTTGATCTTGTCAAATGTTTTTCAAGACTATATTGATTGTATGATTATTGTGAAATAAAAACTTTATAATTGCAACTAAAATTCCATGTTTTACAACCGGTATAAAAAGTGTCGACGAAACAAGAATCAATCTTAATTGATTAAAAACATATAGTCAACGAATCAAGATAAAAAATGTGTCGACAAATCGAGCAAGAAATTAGTATCGACGAAACAAGAATACATCGCTAGAAATCATTCGTACCGCTTGATGAGAAAACATGGACCAGAAACATCTACACAATGGGCTATTTCAATGAATTTTAATTGTTTTTATGTATTATAAAAAATGCCCGTTCAAGCACTATACGGCCATTCCAAATGTAACGGACTAAGTCTTTTTTTCTGTCCGTGACGTTTTCTTCAAAGGCAAAAGAACTTGAGAGCTTGTTTCCACTACAGAATTGTACAAGACACTTAGCTCTACCAACGTCGATAAAAAAAATAGATCTCGTTGAAACGCTACACCAGGCGAGACAAAATGCCTGGCATAATGGACTTACAAAAAACAGAGGTGAACTTTGAAGTATCCGAGAAAAGTGAAAAGTTCAGCGATTGTCTACATTCACGAAGGGATTATAATAGTTGATTTTGTAGCTCGAACTCCGAACTTCCCTATAGTAAAAACCGGAGGAAAAACTATCCCTTGGTTATCGAGAAATCTTCAAAGCAAAAAACGTAACGGACTTACACGTTTTTTGCACTTTTTGAACTGAACTGCATCACCTTCGAATTTCAATAGAAAATAGCCAAAGCCTTTTCTTAATAAGGTACAATTGTAGCCCGCACATTTTTGATTAAAATGAGACGTCTCCCAGCTCTACATGACCTTTCTTTGCAAAGTTATAGAATTTACAAGACAAGCCCTAAACATTCATTGTCAACTCAAAGCTACAGAAATAAGAAATTAATTTAGAGCTTTTCTTGTAAATTCTATAACTTTGCAAAGATAGGTCATGTAGAGCTGGGAAGCGTCCCATTTTACTCAAAAATATGCGGGCTACAATTGTGCCTCGTTAAGAAAGGGTTTTGGCTATTTTTCAAGGTTTCCGAAAAGCTGGCTTTCTAGAAAACCAGGTCTTCAAGAGCCATGGGGGAAAATCCTTTTAGGGTATTTACTATCTCACTGAGGTCTATCGATCCATGTACAAAGCATGGAGCTTTATAACAGAATGAAAGCTTTCGACTTTGCTCAATCGGGTGGACACTTACAAGGAATGGTCGTTTATGGGCTTTTTCTCAGCTCGTTAAACTCTTGGTCAAAAGCTAGATAGTGGAGATTATAAATCATCCATAGAAAAGCACAATTGATAAAAAAATTCAAAAATCAAAAAAAACAAAAAGAGGTTTCATTTTGACAAATAAATGATTTTATCCAGCTCTGTACAAATTCAAATTCTGCATTGACTTTATTGCATCAGAAGTTGACAAAAAAAAGTTTTTAACCATCTTCGGTTTACCCACTATCGATGTGTACGTTTAACAGTTATTTGTAAAAAAGAATGTTTGGAATAGATAGATATACAGATTTTTAGCATAAAAAGATAAGATCTTTCTTTCTGGTATATTTTGAAATTATAAAAGACACAATCGTGACAATCATAGGTCAAACTACAAGACCACAACAGAAAAAGAAAAGCTTAACTATTTACGCTATTAAACTTAACCAAATAAGCAAAAAGTTTATCTTTAGGCTAAAGATACGCAGCAATCGATCACATCTTTTTTGGTTTATATTCTATGAGGTGTCTCTTACTGAAACAATTACACACGCTGTTATCCGTACATCTCTTACTTGCTAAACTCGTTCAATAGCAAAACTTGCATTAGAAAAGATGATTGAAATTGAAAATTTAGCGTAAAATCAACACTTTGTTATCAGGGATTAAGAACGTCTGCAGACTAAGTAGCTTGCAAATGATACAGAGCATCGACCTATCAACTTCATGCCATACAACATTTTATTGATATTTTTATTTACTAACATTTTATTTCAGTAAATAGTTATTGTTAAGCTTTCATGCTTTACAATACGGGTGAGTTTCGCCCAAAGTGGTGTGTTTATCGATATTGCCGAGACAAAATGAAATAATCAGTTCTTTAAAGCATATACAAGGCGAGTAATAACCTATGCTGATGTGGTGTATACTTGCTTAAAAGAAGTATACACAACAACTAATTTTATTCATTTACCAACTTATATAAACCCTATATATGACATACAGTATAAAGCTGCTTTGATTGTACGTGGAGATGTGCACTTGACGCCAAGAAAGAAAGTGCTCAAAATTCTGGAATGTAGCCAAGTGCTTTCAGAGGAGAGTATTTTTCCCGCAAAAATACCACAGGATTTCGTCTGTTTCAAAAGTGCCTGGTCAGACTTGAAAGCCTGTTTCTGTCATAGTTTAAACTTTTGTTTACTCAGGAATTAAGGAAACAGGCACAGTTGATTCAATCATTTAGAGATCGAGGTAATCAACAAGGTTATTCATATCGTGACGATTCACAATGGGCACTTCTTTTAAGCACTTTTTGCTTAAAAAATTTATTATATACCAAATTAATGTTCATCTAAAATGGAATTGATGTGTACGACTGCTATTCTGTATGACGATTATTGGCTGTAGAACTATGGAAGTTTCTATCGAGTGCGTCATAATGATTAAATTCTGGGTGTAGTAGTGCTTTGAGTAAAAGTCTCGTAACTTCAACAAAACAAACGCTTTTTCGATCGGGTTTGTTTTGTTTTGATCAGGAATGCTTGCTTTTCTATTACTAATTCTGAAATCAAAACATCGATCAGGTTTTCCATTTCTTACTTCGGCACATTCCTGAAAATGAGGAAAAATTTTTGAAACTTAGTTCTCCAGCCCACCATCTGCTCTAAAAAACATTTTTCACAGGCCAGAGGAAACAGCATGTTCAGAAGTATAAAAAGAACAGAGTTCTCACTTTTGCTACACTCTTTTGCGCGAATAATTGCTGAAGAAAAAAGTCAAGTCGAAAAAATACCAACTATACAAATTTTTCATTTTTTTCGCCTTTCGTATAATTTACGTAGTTTCCTTGATTAAAGTTAGGTATGGTTTTGTAGAATATTTCGTGGCACATCTTTTAAAAAAAACACTAACCGCGAGATCCTGAACGTACACGAGAAAAATAGAAAATACTGAGAGGCTCATTCATTATGATGCACCCGATAGAAACTTCCATAGTTCTACAGTCAATAATCGTCATACGGAATCTCAGTCATACACATCAATTCCATTTTAGATGAGCATTAATTTGCTATATAATACATTTTTATAGCATCTGTAGTTTCAGCTCTACCCCCCTGGAAAAATATTATTTCCAACCGTGTAGATGAATGAATTACAGAAATCGCAAAATTTATTCAGGATTTTGGTTTTCTGTCAGATAGAGAGAAAAAATGTTCTGGAACATTTTGTTGATCGATGGAATACATATGAACGATAAAGGATATTACCATTTCCTTCCACGATTGAGAAAACACCTAGAACAATTGACGCAACACGAATGACACAACAAAAGCTCTACAGTAGGAATACAGACACAAATAAGTGCATTACCAAAGGCGCTTTCTGCGAAGAATAAACTCTCTATTATTTGTCATAACATTGAGAGTTTATGCCGGAACATTGATGCTCTGAAAAGTCTAGTTAAGTGCTCAGTGGACTCAGGGAAATCTCTTGATGTTGTCTTTATTCAGGAAACTTGGATTACTAGTAGTATAGAAGACGCTGACTAGTAGTATAGAAAGATTGATATTCCGGGCTACTCCCTATACAGGCAAGATAGACCTGCGCTAATGTCTTATAATCCTCACGGAGAGGTTCCCACCTATGTCTTGAATACAATTCCTCATCTATTTATAGCATCTTGTCCAACTTTAGAGTCCATTCTTATTAGACTAAAATCCAATACAAAAGATCTATATGTCTGCTGCTCATATAGAAAACCATCCACTGTTCTCGCAGAAGCCGAAAAATACTTTGAGGCGTTGGAGCTATTCTTATTATCCCATCTACCACCCTCTTCCCAACTACTTTTGGCAGGAGACTTTAACGCTGACCCAGACAAAAACAG